AGCAGGAATACTATACAGCAAGTACAAAAAAAGGCTTTTAAAAAGTGCTCCTGTTTTGTGGGTGTAATAGCAGCAAGTTGGTCTTCTGAACCAATTCAGTTTGTGGATCGGCAGACCGTGTGTATAGGAGCTTTTATTTTGGGTGACTGTTCTTCAAATCAAACCAATACCCCAGACAGAAAGAGAGAGAAACAAACTTTTTTTAATGACCATTAAGTTCCTGATGCAAGGCAAATAATCCAAACCTAGAATTATTTCACAAACCAGACCTAGTTGGAATTCTTAAATTATATTGAATGTAATGTTTACTTTTCCTTACTGTAGCTATTTTTAATGTTGTAGGTACATCTGTGATTATACCTATTACACCTCTCTGTATTATGGCAATAGAAGAGCAGCTTTTATCCACGTGCCTCCATTATCCAAGTCGGTAACAGCAGATTTTCTAGGAAGAGTATTACAATTAATTATTTTAGAGATGTTAAAGCAGTGTGGGAGAAACAGAGAATAAGGAGGAGGGTTTACAAGAAGACACTCAAATTCTGCACAGCAATACCTCACCTGAGACAACCCTGAAGAGTTTAGTAAAAAAAAATACACACCATTTTGGAGGATATAAAAAGTTGTAAAAAATCATCTTTAGCGATATTTCCAGATACAATTACAAAAAAAGAAAAAAAAATATATAATTTGTTAGAGGAATGTAAATGATTGGTGCTTTATTTAGCTAGTGGCCATAAATTAAATTTAGTCTAGAGCTAACAGTACCAGGAAAGCAGCACTGATGGCTAAACTGCCATTTCCCCACGATATTTTTTATATCATAATGAAAAGGTAAGAAACAAATTGCTTTAAAAAGCTTTTTAGAATGCTTGTTCTCGGTATTTGAAAACTAGGCAAGCAGGCATCATGCAGCCTGCATAGTTTCCTTAAGGAACTCCACTGATGCACACATTTAAGATTATATACGATTTGTATGATCACAATATGCTCCCTCTTGCCCTTGCCCTTCCAGCTGCAGGCTAGTAGACAAATTTAGCCATATGAGATGGACATGTAAAAAACCTGCTTTTTGTGAGCGATAGTCACATGCATTATATGGATATTTAAAATCACTTGTGAATGTTATCAAGCCAACTGCAATCCTCTCCCCAAAAGCACACTTAGGATTGAGGCACTTTAGAAAAATACTGTGAAATAAGCTACTAACCACATTCAAAGTGCCATCGCTATTCTCCCCTTGTTCTGCACTTAAAAGGCTTATTGCATTTGGGTCTGTTCTTTACTTTAGGAATGCACTTGCAGAAGAAATACCTTGAAAAGGCCAAGTCACCCTATGTGCTTTTGAGGAAAAGGCTGCAGTTTTATCCAAGGAGGGAGGACAGCATCACTTCTGCAGTGATGCTGTTTATTTGCATCTACAGTAGACTGTGAAGTTGCTGGTGGCAAATTAGGATTACAGCAGACTTTTGAAATGAATAAAGTAATGATTTATCTGGATTCAAACTGCGCAAGGCCACTTACCCCAACCTCCTGGTGGATATAGCATGACAGGGCAGAGGTTCTCTCTCAGGTAGGACGGTCCCAAGTCATTTGTCAGCATAATCAGTCCAAAACCAACAACCGGAATTGCCCCAGGAAAGGCAGTTGATGGAGTGCAGCGTCACGTGCTGTCGTGGCCTATAACCGAATTGTAAAGGTAGGCAGGGTGCCAAATTCTACTCTAGCTGCAGTTTCACAAAGGAGTAAGGGGTCCCTCTTCTATGCTACAGCGTTCTGCAATCCAATCTCAAGGCAGTAAGTGGCAACAAGGTCTACAGCAGAGATGCAGCCATATATGTAAAGGAGAAAAATAAATGTGTTGGGGCTGCCATTTGCTCATCTAAAAACAGCTGGGAATAAAAACAGCCCCTATATTGTATGCCCTGGTAGCAGAAAATACAATGTTTCCACAGCTGCTTTCAGGCCAACATACCATCCGCTCTAATTAGGAACCGTGTCCACTTCACCTTGGAAATCTGAACTTCATACAATGCCAGGACATGATCATGCCTCAAGTGCACCCTCTACGCCACACCGTGGCTGAAACCTGCTAACATGGGTCTAGAGGCGTGAAAAGGCATCAAGATCCCAGCCACTGCCCTGCAACCACCTTCTCCAAATGTAAGCAGGCGATTCATGAGTAGGTGTGGGTGAACACACTGCCAGCACCTGAAGACAGCTCTGAGCTCAGCATCCATCAGATTGGCACTGTACCTTCTTCAAACCACCAGCCAAGGATCCCACTGTCCATCGGGACCTCAGCAGCCAAGAACAAGGTCCAGAAGCTGGAACTGCAGCAGGGAAGACCACGTACATTAAATAAAAGGAAGCCTTAAAAAAAGCCGACTAGCCTTGCGCAAAAGGAGTACTTACTTTAACTGGAATGTCTTTAAACAGAAATTAAATGAAATTCAGCTTGTATGGCAGAAAACCTGTACAGGCAGAAGTTTTAATTTTCTGGGACTACAGTTTCTTTGGGTGAGTTTGGGATAACAAACAAAGTCAGAAGACGGACAAATGCATACAGAATTCTTTTATTTAACTTAAATCATGTAGTACTGTAACTACTAGAAAAAAGCAGAGTAAGAGAAACTAAAGGAGCCTTAGCTTCAGCCATTCAAAATAGACAAAGTTTCTTTTTTCATAATGTAAAGAATCCAGAGTATATCGCAATAACAGGAATAAATTCTTACAACAGAATATACAAAAACGTTTTGAAATTTTATCATCTACTGATTCATTTTATATAAACACAGGAATTTCTTTAGGAATAATTTACACACAGCAAGTCTTTTTATGTAATAAATTGGCCATGTTATTACTGTTTTAATTTTTTTTTCTCTTTTTTAAAAAAAAATTATTTTTTTTTTGTTTTTTTTTTTAAACAAGAAAACTTGGAAAATGTTGTATTTGCAACTGCATCAGTTCCATTGCGCTTTCTAGTTTTGTTTTTGTCCCAGAGGTAGACAAACTCTGGCCAATCCTTTCCTCTCAAACCTCACTGGTTTAGAAAACAGAAGGTTGATTCTTAAAATGCATCTAAACCATCATTAACCCTTCAGAAGGTGGGGTGGAAGGTGTAACGTTCAATCTAATTCAGAAGGAAAATGGGATCTTCAGTATTCTTAAATAAAAATAAATAGGGACCTTCCTTGTTCGTTTCAAAAGACTTTTAATGGTGTTAGGTATCTATATGCGCTGTGTAGGTTGCATACAAAAAACCATCATTTTAAATTATAAGAAATCTGTAAACATACTTTTAAAAAATTCAATAATAATTATGAAAACTGCCTTTCGTGATGCTTTTTACGCAGTCACATTCTTTAACCCACCTGGCAACCATAAAATAAGCCCTGACCAACAACCAAGACTGCTTAGCAGCAATACCTATTCTGTTTCCATAACCAATGAGGTTCTTGCAATCCATCAAGTTAACTGCACTGTACAGTAAAGTGAAATGACCAGTTAAGATGATCCCACCCAAACCAGAGGGTTCTGGAAGACCAGGATACTGAAGATACAGAACACTTCCCCAACCTCTTTATTCATTTCCTATACACTGGGACACAAAGCTTGAGAAAAAAGGGATGAACCGTGAGTTGAAAAACTTAACAATCTTTTTTGGCATATTGTAAAGCTAACTAGGAAACTGGTACTGTCAAAAAACTGATCAGACAGACACACCCACACACAGAAAAGTGCCTTTAAATTATATTTTAGGCATTTATAAACTACAAACATTTTATAAAATTATTCTATGTACTTACAAAATGCAATGAAACATTTAATTAGTTCTTGTAAACCAGATCTTTGTCAACTGACTACCCGTAATCTACTGGACTTAAAAGCCCTATTGAAAATGCTAATGGTTGCTAATCAACGTAACACATACAAAAAAAGATGCACACATGCGCGCGCACACACAAACTAGTGATAGTCACGTGGTACTTGCAAAACAGACTGATGGAAAGTTGAGACACTGCAACTCATACCAACCAATGACAACATCTGTAAACCTCTGGATAATGAACCGACCACCGCAGATGGAAGCCAAGAGGTTTATTTACAAGTACCAAATGATTAGGAGCCGTTATGCCTGAGCATTGATGTCATCCCACATCCCAAGCTCAGGGAACCCGAGCACTGTGTCTTCGTACATAGCAGTTTCCACCCTCGTTTTTCAGCATCTCTTGCCATTATCCCTTAAAATTCTCAGTGACCTGGTTGTGCTCTTAAATCCACACAGAGTAATTTAAAAGTGCCTCGTCTCAGAACAACCCGTTTTCTGAGCTTAGGCACCAGCTGAAGCCTTCTGGTCTAGTGACAGTTCTGTATCTTCAGCACCTCTGGTCGCTAGTGTTTAACCTACATATTGTCCTTCCTTTATAACTCTGATCTGCACCAACTACTTGGAGCTGAGTTGTGATATCTGGCTTTTATCACTGGTTAATAAGGAGTGGATCTCTCGCACCTTCCCCTGCTGTTGCTTTGCCCAGTGATTAAATACATCTATGACAAACAAAATAAAACAGTAACAGAAAAAAAAAAAAACCATTACTTTTACTAATGGAATGAAAAGGGGTTTTAAAAAAAAAAATACATCATATATATGAATGAAGTTATACCACCAATAGGCGTATTGTTCATTTAGACTTGGATTGCATTAAAACAACCCTCAGCAGTTCCCAGAGGACCCAACAGCAGTTCCATCTGGTGACCAGTCATCCTGGGCAAACTGGGCTACTTGTTTTTTTAAAACACCAACAGGAGCATCAGTGCGAACGAATCTAGAGTCATACATCACTTAAAACCAGCTTTACCGAACAGAGGCGTCACACCGAGAAAGAGGCTTGGTGGAAACACAGGCTGGCCTCAAGTTTTCCATCGGACTTGGTTTCTATGTATAGTTTATCATCCCAACAGAAGAATGTCATATCTAGTACCAAGCGTGTGACAATTCTGTATTTACACAAGTCACCTTCCTTTGCAACCAAACCACCTTCTGTACCACTGGAAAGGTTTAACAATGACAAAGTCAGGTGAGAAGAATGGCCAAAGTACTTGAAATCAAAGCTTCTTGCTCCCTTAGTGATGCCAACTGGTTATCGTGTTGTATTACAGTATCTTGGTACCCTTTGTCAGAATGCTTGTTTGGGGGGTTGGGCGGGTTTGGGGGGGTTGTTTTCAATTCTAAACACAAATTGGGTTACTAACAAAAATGTATTCAAGCACAGCTGAAGTTCTAAATAAATTCTCCATACCAGGCTAGCCAGTGGTCTCTCAGGAAAAGACAGCATTGCAAAACCATTTTATTTCTATATCAAGCCAACATTAAATTTTCAGGTGTTCACATGCATAGACAATGTGATTTACTGTCAAAGGGAGGTCTCTACATGAAGAACATTGTGGATAAAGCTATTCAGAATGCACACACACAAAACAACAAGAAAAGAGCGGTGGGAACCAAAAATGGAATTAGCCTAGAAATGTGAACACAATGGTATAAGATAAGGTGGTTTGGTCCAAGAGAGCTGACTTTGTCATCACACATGCATACTTGTAGTCACGTGACTGCCTTTCATTTAAGTGCTTTTGAAATGTTTATTTATGATGGGCACTACTTTGTTACTGTTTTTTCCTAATTTTTTAACCACCTACGTACAATTAAAAACCAATAACTTGGACAGTTTTAACAAAACCCTCATAGCCAGCTGAAAGATCTGAGGATCTCCAGTTGTGGAAATCAGTATGTGCAAGAGAGGGGAGCGGTCACTAGACCAGAAGGTCACAGGGAAGTTAAGAAAATCCAAAAACAAAAGAAAACCCAGGGAATCTGAAATTCTGGTGGTTTTCTGGGGTTACAGGGAAATGCTCCCTCCAAAGACAAACTCTGCAGTACTTAACCGCAGCACTGTATACTCAAGAGGCCATGCACATCTCAAAGTAGCCAAGCACCACATTAGTCAGATACCACAACCAACACCTGCATGAACAGCTGCCAGACTCAGAAAAAGAGAAACATTATACATCAAGTTGATGGCAGGCTGCTTGTAAACCAGTCGCACACGGTCGGAGGGAAGTTACGATTTGATGGCTGGTCCATCAGCACCCACGGGGCCGACGTGCGTGGAGAGGGACTGCATTTATACTGGCACGGTCAAATTTTGGATTTTGCCTACGTTTTGAGAAATCAGTGTTCTCACCAAAAAACAGCAGCAAACGTAAAAGATCCAAAGTTGTAAACTCAGTCTAGTATTACTGTCAGGTAGCCCAAGAGATTTTTCACGGTTGGATTGATCAAGGAAGAAGGCTCCAATTTATTTTTAGGCAATGAAACACTCTGATGTCCCTTCTGGTGCTTGTGGCATCTGAGAAAAATTGGCAGCAATGACTTAGCCCACTCGATAGGATTAACAGAAAGGCCATTTACCTCGGTCTAGCCAGCATGGACCTTCGAATATTGTAAATAGCTACTTTCTGTAACGAAGCTGATCATTCAGAGCTCACGTCACAGCCAGTGATGGCTCTGCTCAGCTTGATGTATTACACTTTGATGAACTCTGATTGCAGTGACAATGCATTCAGTCGCTTCTGAGATTCCTCAAAGAATGGGCGTCAGAAGTCAGACTCCTCTCGGGTGTCTCCCACCCCTACAAATCAATACATCTTCAAGTGGAGAAAATACTAGCAAAAACAAGTGGGGGGCAGGAGCGATGGACAATAATTTGAGGGGAGGAAAAAAAAAAAAAAGCTTCTGAAGTGACCTTCTGCAATAAGTAGTGACTGCTCCTCTCCAAAACCTAGAGTGTGTGGTTTGTGGAGTAAGAGGTTACCAGTATTAACGGCGTTTATTGGCTGCTGAGAAATGAGATGTATTTTTTTTTATATATATACACATATAAAAAAATAAGAGTGAGGTAGATAAATGTTTGAAAAAAATCAAAAACTGTCCCCCTGTCATACTCAAAAACCCTTATCTCAGTATTTAAATTTAATTATGGGGCATCTCTACAGTGATTTAAACTGATATCACAAAATAAATAAAAAATCCTACATAGAATACCTTCTTAATTAAACTTTTTTTTGTCTTTTTCATTTTTTTTTTTTTTAAAGGGAAAAATAACTATGGGACAGAAGCAAGAGAAGATAGCGGGACCTAAAACTACACAAGCAAAATGCACTACAAACATTTTTTTTTTAAACCTCCGGTCACAACTAGCAATCAGTATATTTTAATTCTTGTTCTTACTCAAAAAATTTAAACATTTCCATCCCAGGACAACCTCTACTGCCATCATTTGGTTGAATCAGTGCTAAACAAGGGTTTACATGCTATAACTAAAGTTAAGATGAGTAATGGGCATGGCTCCTTGGTTCTAGACGTCATCATGGCCCCCTCCATCACTGTCCCACAGTTCACCAAGGCTTCTGGAACTGATCGAGCAAGCAAATCTCCCTCTCATTGTGGAGTTTGGTCTGAGCAATGAGCTTGTACTCGTACAAACTTCAGTAGCTGCCAACATTTCTCCGTTTGCTAGCAAATTTGGCAGCCCCCAGCCACTAGAGAGCACGCTGGCCCTCCCCCCACATGATCTGAACTTCATGTCATTGCATTTGGAGAGCTCGAGCAAGGTATAGCCCAGAACGCGGCCCCTGAACGTTTGCTTATTGGGAAGGCGAGTGGCTAGGGGGCTGCTGGGTCAAGGCATTTTAAATGGCCAGAGTCTCAGAAAACCCTGGCACCATCAGCAGCAACCAATTTAGCTGTTGTTCATGGGATGGAAGGGTTAAAATATTCGGTTTTAGAAAATAGTGACCCAAAAGCCTGGTGTCTACTGTTGTACCCAACAATTAAAAAAATGTGCGAGTGTGCGTGCGTGTATCTGTGTGTGTGTCACAACCAAAACAAAAGGCAAGGGAAGGAGGGGGTGAGACTCTTGTACAATGATGATTATGAACACTGAACAAGAATGTACTAAATATTTAACCTTTTTTTTTTTTCTGACCTGAGTTTGTATCATGCCTTGCACTGTAACAGACTCGAGTGCTGTTTGGGTGGAGGTTAGCGGGAAGGAAGGAGGCTGGGGAATTAAAAAGAACCACCACGACACAGTATCGCGGGAGTGCTACCAGTCATGCGTCCCCCTTCTCCTCCGATCCCTCAAGAGCCCTGTAACCCACACAGCCAAGATGCTGGAAAACAACTAATGGGAAAAAAAAGGAGGAAATGTGTTTATAAAAAGGCATTAAACAGTTCATGGCAAATCATATGAAAGGTATCCATTACTGGGAAGGAGGAAGTAAAAGTTACACACTATAGTACAAAGCATAAGAAATTTGTCGGAAAAGGGGGAGGGGGGGAAGGGAAGGAGGGCAGACCTGAAGGTTTTCATAGATTAAATCCACAAAGATAAAGAACAAAAAAAATAGCAGCTTCTTTCTGTACAGACATATAGATGAGTATCTGAACCGTAAAAAAGTTATAAAAGTGACACAAAAGACAATGTGTATGCAAATGATCCATGGTCTAACATAGAACTGCAAGACCCTTCGAGAAGTCTTAATAACAGAGAGAAAAGGGCAACAAAGCGCCGGATGCTTGAATCCGCTTACTGCTTTCTGTCGTCTCCAATTTGTGTGTTTCTACGTGCGCTTTCCTGCAAGCCTGCGAAGGAAGGCAGGCTGCCACGACAGAGATCCCTTCCGGTTCGTCTGTTTACTGTATTGATTTTTGGCGTGCGATTGACTTTTTGCACGAAATGCGTGTGTTTGGCTCACCACTGCCAGTTTTGTCCAGAATTCGTAAGGGTGGGTGTTGGGTGCAGGGGTGGCGGGGAGGGCTGATTCTAAACCCCACCCCAGCTTCTCCATCATGAGAAAAAAAATTCGTTTTTTGTCCAGTTTCAAAAAAAAAAAAAAAAAAAAAAAAAAAAAAAAAAAAAAAAAATTTACCAAAATTTTATTTTTTTTTTTTTTTTAAATACCAGTGTATGATTGAATGGAGTGTATTGGTCAGTATTTCCTTTAAATAGAGCAGTTGGTTACTGTGCTCCTTTCCATGCCTACAAAAAACAAATAAAAGTTCAGTTTTTTGGCAAAATTTGGCAGCGTTGAAAATGGTAACAACCTTGGACGAATGATGGCCCTTTTTAATTCTTTTACATGTTCCTAAAAAGGTTAAAGAGCAACATTAAAAATCCAGTCTTTTTTTTTTTCTTTTAAATTCGGTTTTTATAAAGACCTACAGTGTTAGGCAGGTGTTTGTGAGGGCTACCGGGGAGGCACCTAGCCTGTGTTGTAAGGTTGAACTTGCACGCAGATATGTTTCCCATTATGAAGCAGAGAGAGACAGAGAGAGAGACAGAAAGAAGAGGGTGGATGAGGAGGGAGAGAGAGAGAAAGAAAAAGAGAGACATTGGATCTCAAGATTTTCTGTTGCTATGAAGTGTTAACATTAGCGTTTTTTAAAAGGCCAACTGTGCGCCCCGTGAGCGGAGTCCATTACCGAAACAAACATCTGCTTGCATATTGAAAAAAAGAAAAAACTAGAACATGTCGACTGAAAAGAGGATTCTCCTGTGTGCAGCTATGGCAGTTCTGAAGATCCACTGAGGTACAGTAGGCTTTTGAATATATTGTAATTTTCTTTCTTTCTTCCCTCAATTGCGTGCGTGTGGGTGGGTGTGTGGGCGAGAGACTCTTGTACTAAGGATCAGCAGGCCGAAGACTGGGGCAAAGGCAAGGCCCTTTCATTCTTGCGTCCCCCGTTCATGTGTGCGTACGGCTGTCTCTCCTCGAAGGTGGCCCGCAGGACCACCACGCCTGGGCCATTCTCAGCTTTGTGTCCTGAGTGCTTGTCAGTGGGTTGGAGGGTGGAGGAGGGGTCTAAAGGAATGCTCTCCATGTTTTCAGTCTCCAGGTCAAGCTCCTCCGTGTCAGGGGGCTTGTTCTCTTCACTGTAGAAGAAGGAGACCTCTTTGAAGGCTGGGTCCAGCTCGTCTTTAATGCTACCGATGATTTCCAGGAAGGAGGGCCTCATTTTGGGGTTGTACTGCCAGCACATGCGCATCAACTCAAACCTGGAATTAAACGCACACAAAAAATTGACTAAATAAATGCTTTTTTGTTCTGTGGGCGGCTGACTTCGAACTGCAGCCACCCCAAGGTTTTTCATGCACACCCTGGGCAAACCCAATGACTAAACACACTGAGCCAGAGCGCTAGTGACATGAAATACAAAATACAGCTCTGAGAATGAGTACAAGTCTTTGCCCCCAACCCAAAAAACACCGTATCTCATTTTAGATCCCATTTCCTAGTACCCAACAGGTCAGCTTGAATATGCTAGAAAGGTAAGAGACTGATTTCTAGAGATGCAGAAAGATAATTATGCAATAGAAAGATAATAGATTTCAAGGACCATTATTAAGAGTAGGCAGGTCGCTGGATTTCTTTCACTCAGTCATTTCTGAGTGCAGCACAATGCTCTGAGAGAGAATTAGACCAGAAGTGGCCACTTCTTGCCCCCAGGTGCTGTTCTCCCAAAATGCTCATACGGACAAGAGCTGATCTGTGACCATTCCCGTTTCCCTTCCTGCAGCCCCAACTCTGTGGGGACCACCCTTCTTTTCAGCTCCGCTGGAGTGGTGCCAAAGCCGCCTCGGCTCCCAAACCACAGTTTGGTTATCTGAGAATGACAGTGTAGATGCTAGGAAACCATACCATTTTGATTCAAGTCTAAGTGATGAAGAATGTATCTGGGATAGAGCAGTTAAAAAGACTGAGCCTACCACTGGCAGGGGTTTTTCAAGCATCTGCTCATTTTTGTATCCTTTCCAATTTTTCCATGACTTTGGGGACACCAGAAAAGGCCACAACTTTCCCTATCAGTATTCACATGATTGTCGCATACAGAGGTAGTAGAATCCTTGTTCTACGCCTACTCAATGTTTCTCTCTGGCCCATGGTTACCACCCAGTGGTAACGTTCACCTAGGTAACTACAGCACCTTACAGGTGCTTTGCATGGAAAAGACCAATTCAAGTCCTCCACCCTGTTACTATGGCCCTAAAAGACCTTAAGAGTAGGAAAAAGAGCACTACAGCAAAGTCCAGAAAAACAAAAGGATGAAGCCACATTTTTCCCCCAAGAAAAAAAAAAAAATCACCTTGGGAGTTTAAAAACCCCTTGTCGATCTTAGCACCATCGTTTGGTATTTCTCTTAAGAGCCTATTGATTGATTTGCCTTTTTGGCCAGTGCTACCTCACTATTTTACAGAGAATGAGATCACCTGTTTAAAACACATTTATGGTTCTCTCTCCAATGGCTGCTGCTGCACTGGCAAAACAAAGCCTCGAGATGAAACTGCAACACATGCAGGATGAAGAGCATTTTTTGTGACGTTAAGACTGGAGGTCACTCGCAGTTGGGCCTGCCCTTTGCACACACCAAAACCAAATATTTTCCCCTCTGACGGTTGGAGTGAGGGTCAAGGACACCTCCCGTTATGGCACCAGCCAGATAATGGGAGAAAATGAATACAGACAACCTGAAGGTGATGGATATCATAAATGGGACTCAGAACCAACCAACCATGCTTTACACAAGAAGGCATCTGGTTGAAGTGGAATCATCTTTTCACGCTGAAATAAAAATGGATCTAAAAACAGGAGAACAAAAGAGCATCTGTCAATCAAGACCACTCCAGAGGAGTTTTGGTGACGCAGTAAGACTTCTTGCAGCTGAGATCAGGAGCTGGAGCTACCCGTGTCAAGTTACCAGCTCAGCCAGATGGCTTGTGAAATACTGTCCAGATCCCTTCGTCTCTGGGCTTCAGGTCCACAAACAGGGGCAGTATTTCTCTAGCTGATGAAATGCTGCAAGAAGCCATCACTCCATTTGTGAAACGCTCCAGTGGCAGGGAGGCTCAAAGAAATACCAAGATGGAGAGATTCCAGCGGTGTTAATGAACCAGCCTACGCCTCTAGAAACAAGGCTATCCTCAGAGATTTCTGACTTGGAACTCCTAGGTCATGGAAGCAAAACGTTCCTCCTCGGAGTATAACGAGTTGATTATTTTCTGACAAAAATGATTATTCAGAAAAATGCTGATTTTTTTTTTCAACTCAGAGTGCTTGATTCAGAACCTCTCCCATTTGGCAAATCCCCCGAAATGGAAAGCAGGGTTCCCACCAGTGCACTGCCCCACCACGGTGGCTTGTTTCTGGGATTCCCAGCTCTGGGACAGCACCAACCACGTGGCCTGCCCCAAAGTCAGGAAACCCTGGACTCCAGGGTCATGGCTATAGCAGTCAGTCATACCATGGCTTCTAGGGCCTGTGCCATGGCGCCAGGAGCCCGAAACCACTGCAGCGGCACCCTCCCAGTCACAGACGGATACGCCCAAGCACAAAACCAACCCAGTAAATCTGCTTCTTGTCACCCAAGAGACGAGAGAGTAATATTGCTATTGTACCCGGGGGAGGCCCTGTGATGAATACGGCGACAGCGAGATAAGACAGACTGAGATGCTGCCATGTATGGGTTGAAACCACGGCAGGGAAATGTTTAAATACAAACACAAGTTAACTTAATTGAAACACATTTGTAACCACAAACACATTTCTATTAACGCTTGGTTGGCACCACAGGAAAAAATAAAGAAAGAAAAAAAAAGAAAAAAAAAAAAAAAAACAACAGCCTGGCTGTATCCCTTTAATTTGCAAAGACCAAAAAAGTAATGTAGGCAAACAACCCAAACACAGAGAAGTCACCTGAATGGATAATGGGTAGATGTGCATCACGCGCGCACACGAAAACGTGCGTCTACTGCTTGTTTCGTGTCAGCAGCCCTGAGACACGTTTTTTTGAGCTAAGAGTAAAGCCGGTCTGTAAAAATGTGCCGTCCCCTCCCCCACAAAACAAGGAGAAAGGCTGTGACATAAATATATAAAATCCATTTCTGTTACTTCATTGCTGTTTCCTCTCCAGCTGACTGCTACGTCCCTGAATAGAAGCATCAGCTGGAGCCAGGAACACTGGATATTCACTGGCTCTTTGCCCTGCGGCCTAGGGGCAATGCTAAGGACATACCACAAGCAGCAGAGTAATGCATGTGACATCAGCACAAACAAGGACATGTGATGCTTCTTTTAAGCTAGTCCAGATTCAAAAACCTTACAGAGCTTCCCATAAAAGGGATGCTTTTTTTTTTTTTTTTTTTTTGCTTTTTTACTCTGGGATCCTGTTTACACTCTCAGTGTACAAGACTGCCTTCCAGTAGACAACGGAGGAATGTACTAGCTGATAAAACTAGCTTTTTAATTAAAAAAAAACAACTGTTTCCTTCTGAGGGATGGTAAGGCAGGCTTGGGAACTTCTATGAATTATGAGGCAGTGGGATCTTCACCCTTCTCTGAACGAGCTCTCCACTTTCTGTCGACAGAGCGGCACAGCAAAAGCCGACGTGTTTGTTGCGCTGAGTTATTAAAAAGGTGAAAGAAGAGCCCTGGTGGAAAAGTGATTTACTTCTCTGCGATCTACGTATTTGTGATTCGCCTCCAGTCGATTCTTCATAGCCATGTCGGACACCCAGGAACTTGGAGCGAGGGGACAGTAGGGTCCTTGCTGGTCTCCTGCCCTGCTAGAAGAGGGGGCTGACCTCTGTACTTGTCTAGCAGTAAAAAGCTGGCTGGAAAACAAGCTGTACCCAGGGACAAAGCAAAACTTGGAGCTGTGTAATTTGGCTAACAATCTGGGGGAAGCAATCATTCAATGCACCCTTCCTTCAGAACAGAGCCAAATTCCACCCCGCGCAACTAAACTAACTTTTAAAATCCCAGCGAGAGGCTACGAGCAGTAAACTAAGCTCCCTGACACGCAGCCACAGCCTGCCAAACGCTTGCAACAATCGCAGTGTGTAAACCACATCTCATTACAGATGAGCAGCAATGCCTCTCATCGACTATACTGCCTGGCCTCCATCTGTCGTTACGGTACGTCCGAGTGTAACGTCATGCAAAATATTCCAGGGGACTGCAGTTTAAACAGGAATCAATCCAAGCTTCGCTTGCCCATCAATAGCTGAATAAAAACACCTGGAAAAAAACCTCAGTTCCTTCTGCTGAGCTATTTTAATACTTTCCCCTTCTGTGAATCCCGGTGCAACTGCCCGGCAACACCCAGCATACCCCGGCCTTAATAAGCATTAGGGAAAACCCCGGCTAAGCTGAAACCAAGAAACAAACTACCATGTATCAAGTCTCTGGCCCAGTTAAAAATTAACATTTCTCCACAACTGGAAGTCAGTGAAGGAATGACTTACAACTACAACTAACACAAGGATCTTACAAGGAAACCCTCGTGGAAATGACTGCAGGGCTTACGGCTGTTGTCAACAATGGTGCAAGACGGTACCCTGCAAACCAAAGTGAGGGAAGCGCTGGTGCAATCCTTCCATGTGCACAACTCTGGTTTTGCCCTTGGACAACTTCGTGCTCTACCCCCTTTTTAGAGGCCTTTGGATGCTGGTACATTCCCCACCTGCTCCAAAAGTCAGTACCAAATGCTGCCTTAGATACCAACAACCCACAACTATGTTTTAGCTGCTTGCACGATGGACAAATTTAGAGAAAGAGGGCCCAGCGCTGAAGAGATGCCGCACACTAGATTTCTCATCAGTGATAACTCGCTCCTCTTCTGGGCTTGCCATTTACACTATGCTGAGTCCAGGAAGTTATCGACTTTCGTGCGGCAGGTGGACTTTGCTTCCTGGGCATCTTGAATTAATATTAAAATACCCTGGACCAATGGGCCAGCTGCATTAGGTTTCCATTGCAACTGGTGCCTTCAGGCTAAAAACAGCCCCCAGCGGGACCAGCGTGCCAGGGAATCGGATGCTTTACCAGGAAAATCCAACACCAACCTCCATCCAAGAGGACGAACCTTCTTTGCTTGAAGCATAAAACATTTGGTGAAATAACTAGACCTTGCATGAGCTGGTGATGCAGGGAGATCAGTGCCTAATTCTGCGACAGGACACAGAACTGTATTTCCTAAGACCTGGGCTCTGTTCGGCCATATCCAGGAATGGGATGGCACCAAAGGGGAAGACGTAATGCAACACGCAGCTGTGGTCACAGGACTATGCACTGCTTGCTGACACCGCATTATAACATCTCAGGCTGAAGGGGGAGCAGCCTGAGGTACGTCTAAAAAAAATGGATCAGACAGGAGAGCTTGGGAGTCCACTTGGAAAGGAAACTGGAAAACCCAAATAACTGGACTTAAGTGGCATCTTTGAATTTTTACAGTACAGATGATGCCAAGAAATGTTACATATGATCCAATCCACCAGGTGCCACTGGCCCATCTTTCTCTTAAGTGGCATCTTAAAGGTGAAGACAGAGAGAGGCAAAGGGAGATCCAACAGCGGAGTTCCTATTTTGTGTCTCCCCTGGAGGAGCAGCAATGTCTACAAGCAGGAGAGGATTTTCCAATATTTCTCTCCATTGCAGCAGCTACACAGGAAACAAGACTCAAACTTTACAGCCCCTGGGTTTGGGCTTCTTGGATTCTGGGTCTGCCCCCCAGGCTCCTAGCAAAACTCAAAACAGGATTGTTAAAATTACCCAGGTTGGGAGTTTTGGGTCTGGAGCTGTGATCTGGTGGGGACTCTAGCATGAAAGTGAGAACATCTCTCTCGGATCAGTGTGAATGAGGCCCGGATTACCCATCAACTCAGAAGTTTAGGATCGTGAATCCAAAAAGATGACAAAGCCAGTAGGGAAATACAAATCGCCCAAGCAAGGGACTAACATTAGAGGGATGGGGGTGAGGAGGGGACCACAACAGGGGTTGTCAACTGGGCCTAAGACCTATATGGGAAGGCCCCAGGGAGCACGCGGTAGCGGCACGGAGAAGCGGGGGGTACCTGGGAAGCACCATCACCGCACACGGTCACTTCGTGTTTGGGATCCCCCCTGCTCCACATCCAGAAGGGGGTACCCACTAGGAGGAGTACCCACCAGAAGGGGTACTCTCCTTAAAAAAGGCTGAAAACTCCTGCTACGCTGTATCCACACTGTTCTGCTTTGCTAGCTGGCAACCTGGAGCAGATTCATCCAGCAATGAGACCAAACAAGTAAAACGCTCGTGGGAGTGACTAGCTGGTCTTGCAGAGATCTACCTGCAATTCCCTCCTACCCCAGCTAGATATATATACACACCAAGTTAATGGTGAATTTCTAAAGCTAAATCCACTTGCCCAGTTCATCCACACTGTGCAGCTTTTTAAGTTCCCTCTGGTGCTTCCTGGAATAACAGCTGCTCACCTAGGATCTGTCATGTTCCCAGCCCCCTACTACACAATTCCCACAATGTCAAGCATGACTTCAGAGCCATTTGACTGCCAGAAATTCTCCACAGAATCATGGACAGGAAGAAATGTGAGACTGGGGAGTCGCACGGCAGCCATACCGCCCCTCTCCTCCTCCTGCCTACGCCGCCCATTACCCACCCCCTCCAACAACAAAACAAAACTGAATGTCATCTGAAACCACAGCGAGCGCTCCAGCCAAAAAAGCTCTTTTCCTAAGAATCCTAAGCCCCTTCTGTGGGCCTCCAACAAATTTCAATAACTGCAAGACATGGCATTTCCTTCCAGAGAGCTCGTTTGGGAAGCAAATCAAAGTAGTAAATGTCTGAACAACCAAAACGACCGAACACAAAACCCAGCAGAAGCATTTCAACAATGCAAAGCAAAAAGCCGAAAGTCTATGCTGGTTAAAGAATCTCCGGTACGAGGCAGCTTTATTGGACCTGCATGAGAAAGAAAGTGCTCTTGGCCACTATTTTTTATTTTTGGTTCATAGAAAAGGCAACTGAGCCAGAGAGAAGGCACGGCTCTCAATGCAATGAGCACCCATGACTGTGGCAGTGGATGCTAAGTTGCTGCAGTATCTTATCTCTACGCAGAATTACGGGAAAAGCTTAGATCCCAAAGAGAAAACACACTGGGAAAGGATGCTGGAAAACCCAAATAACCCGACTTAAAGTGGCATCTTTGAATTGTCTGCTCGTTCCAAACACTTCTTCCCAACGGCGTTATTTTAAAATAGAAATCGTTAAGAAGCAGAAGTCTCTGATAAGTCCTCCAAATAATAACGTTCATTTTACTGAAACTAAATTTGCTCAGCAACAGCAAAAGGTTGTTGATTGCATTTTAGGGAATCTAATCCTTAGCCATAGTGAGATTACTGTTACTAGCAAAGGTGTTTGATGGCATCTGTTTAACAAACACTAGATTGATAGGGACAGTTTCAAACAGTAGCTAGCACTGCAACAGGTTTTTCAGTCCAGCACACTGCACTTGAGTCATTTACTAGCCTTTACACTGGGGAGAAGATCAAAAGGAGAGGCACATAAATAAGACTAACTAAAAATACTTAGTTTAAACCAGATACAGCACCAGTGAATGGTAGCAGAAAGAACAGGGCAGGTGTCATGGAGAGAGAAAAAGGACAGTCAGAGAGAGAATGAAGGTACACCCATTAGTTTGAGTACCACATCAACGAAGTGAAAACAGCACTGTAAGTTTGCAAAGGTATGAAAGCCGACTTCTCCCAACTGCCGCTGAGCCCTGATAAAAAATTACTCTATCATGTTCATCACCACACTACCAACAGATCCATTCACTAGAGACAATGAGCTAGATTTACCTTAATAACTTGGCATTTGAGTTGCAAGAGAGGAGAGAGGGAAACAAATGGAGCATGTGAGAGATGACTGGCAATACTTACAGCATATCAGGACAGTTGTCTGGTTTGTCTAGCAGGCCTCCCTCCATCACGAAGCGGAGAACTTGCTCGTTGGACATGCCTTGGTACGGCTGCTCTGCTAATGTTGCAATCTCCCAAAGGACAACACCGAAGGACCTGGAAAACAATTGCAACTTTAAAGGCAACTTTAAAGGCACTAACCAAGCAAGGAAGATTTTGCCTAGAGCCTGGTGGGGTAGCCACGAGAGGGTGACTGTTTAAGGAACTGGTAAAACCCACTCGAAAACATTCATCTAAGCCAATAGCTGACTCAGTAATGACCAAACATTGTTACCGTCAGGTGGCCATTTGGTGACCTAATGCTAATGAGCTTGGTTGGCTCGGTCTAGACCCCAGATCAGGAAACCCATCACCAGCTCTTGGCCCTACTCAGCAGCCTACTTTGTCATGTTAGCAGAAGCACTAAGCTGAAACTGGCAGGGA